GTCTTAAAATAAACGTTATTATTTTCCAACTATAATCCTTATACTCCATATTGTCAATGTTCAATTTTCAAGAAGTAGGTTAATAAACTAGACACTATACTTATTATTTTTTAATTGACGTGATTTTTGTTAAAATAATAAAAAAAATTATAAAAAAAACGCCATCATTTGTGCTCTTGAAAGCTTGGTTGACCGATCTTCTAAAAGGTTAAATTGCTTATTTTTTAAAGAAAAATTACTACGGGCTACTTGTTTTAGAAATTGAATGTGTTTGATCAATTTTATTTTTTTTATTACGAATGGAAGCAAGTGTTTTCAAACTTTGAAATAAAAGTTGAAAAAAGATATCCAAAAGAAGTGGTCTTGATTTTAAGGACAAAAATGTTCATATAAAAAGTTCATATTTATCAAACTAATTATTAAAACCTAAGTGTTGAACTAAGAGCCTGTTTGAATTGACTTAAAACTGAGAAAATGGTCAAAAGCCCCCTAACCTATAGCTGGATTTTCAACTACACACTCATATTTTACGGGGGTCCTATTACCCCTATGAACATTTTTTTTACAAATTTTCTCACCCTTATTTGCTGACGTGTCCACATAAACCAGATATAATTAAATGTTTGTTTACACGCGCTGCCACATAATGACTGGACCCCAGAACCCACGAATTTCCTTTAATCTTTTCATTTTCCTCGTTCTTTCTCTAAACCCTAACCTTTTTTCGATCTGACCAAATTCACCCCCATTCTCTTCGATCTGAGATTTCGTTCCAATCGAAGTTTGCTGGGAAGGTTGGGGAAGGTTCGTTTAGCTTTTTTCGTTTGTTGGGTCGAAGTTTTCTCTAAGTAAAGGTTAGTTCTTTTAGTTCTTTACTAGCGATTTTGAATGATATTGATTATTGTGTTTGATTAGGGTTATGAAATTGACAAAAAAATGAAGAGCAATAACTGGGTTTTGGTATAATAGCATTCCATTGAAGAAAATTTTTGAACCATAACTATGAAATCAGAGAAATTACATGCCCTAAAGCTTCAAACTTTTTCGAAATTGAAACTACAGTTGAATGCTTTGACAAGTAAATTCAAGTTTTAAGCTGCTTTGGGAGAGAATGAAGGAATATACCGTTGGAGATTTGTCAACTATTAGAAGAATTGAGAAAAAAAGGAAGAAAAAGAGAGTTTGATTTTGGGAGAGATGAGATTATACCATTGGAGATTTAATATAGCTGATTTGGACTCACATGTGTAGTTTTCTTCAGCTTTTAACGTTTTATTTTCTTTTCTTACGCGTCTAAGGGAGTTGGTCTCACCTTCTTGGAAATGTCAGCAAATAATGGTGAGAAAATTAGTAAAAAAAAATGTTTAGGGGGGTAATAGGACCCCGTAAAGTATGAGTGTGTAGTTGGGAATCCGACTATAGGTTGGGGAGACTTTTGGTCATTTTCTCCTTAAAAATTGATAAAATTTATTTTTAGTTTCTTAGAAGTGTTTGACAAAATTAAAAATTAATTAAACATGACTTAAAAAGTTTAAAAATCAAAAGTAAATCTTTCCTATTTTTCATTTTTTTATTTAAAAATTATATACATTTAACTTTTTATTTTTTGAGTTAAAAACAATTTTTTTTAGAGTTATGTAGGCCAAACACATACACAACCCCTCAAACTTGCCCTCATTTTTCATTTTGGCATTCCAACTTAGCCTTGTTCCATTTTAACCCTTGAACTCCATTTTTTCTGTACCATTTAAACACTTATACTATTTTTTATGATTTGTTTTTATTTATGTTCTTCAATTGCAATTTCTTTTTTTTAAAAATATATGTGTGCATGTTTATTTTCGTAAAAAATTAAATATTCGCGAACGAACATAAAAGTTTTCAAACAATAATATTATTTTTTGATATTTCTCTGTATTTTTGCATGAAAATAAATTGACGGAAGTTCTTTGATTTTCTTTCTTAAACATTCAATTAAATTAAATAACACTACTTATTTATTTTTTCTTATCATCTAGGCTATCTAAATTTAACGCAAATACTCACTTTTAATTTTTAATATAAATCAATACGAATAAAAAAAACCCATCTTCAAAAAAGACTTGACTGACTTTGTTAATAACACTACTAAAAAAAAACTCTTGTTTATTACTAATAACACTACTAAACAATGTTAAAACTCGACTGACTTTGTTAGGTTGTCGGTGATTTTAGAAAAAGAAAACCAATACAATTTCGTCGGTTATATTTCACACAAAAATACATAACACTCTTAAAAATTTATTATTATTTTTTAAAAAGAATTAATTTTTGTTAATTTTTTATTTATTAACTAAAATTAACTGACAAATATCGATTTCAAATAAGAAGTTGCAATTGAAGAATATATATAAAAATAAAGAAATCATAAAAATAGTATTTTGTGTTAAAATGATACATAAAAAATGGTGTTTAAGTGTTAAAATGAAAATTATGGACAAGTTAGACGGGCTATATATGTGTTTGGCCTTATGTATGATTACATACAAACCAGGATATGCAGTTTCATGACAAAAAATGACAACATTATTATCAGATTTTTGATAAAAGTTTTGAAAAATAGAATAAAATAAAATAGAGAAATAGCTGCAGAAAGTGGTGGCGTTACGAGGATCCGTAAAGTCGGTGTGGAGAAAAAAGATCAAGAATTGTAGCGCACGCGCCGAAGAAGTGAGAGTGGTGATTATTATTATTATTATTAGATTAGAAAGTGAGAAAAGCATTGGTGAGTGAAAGAGCAAAATGAGGAAATGGGTGGGCCCACTCCGGTACTCATGGATTAGACATTTCTGGAAAGTTTTGCCTTTTATTGCTATTATTCCAATTTCCTTTTCTGAAACCAGACCTCTTCTCTCTTCTGTTGTGGACCTGACTGACTCACAATAATTTTTATTCCAAATATACCCCTTACTTCCTATCCCCATTTTCCTAAACAAGGTGAAAACAATTCTAGTTGTAAAAGAAAATCACTAATCCAAGAGTCTAGTTGGATAGTCCCATCGCATTTCCACATGTTACATTATGTTATTGTGAAATTGAAAAAAATAATTGTTTTTAATAAAAAATATAATAAATTGGAGTAGTTTTTATGAATATTTTGAAGTAAAAGTTTGAAAAAATTTCATAACCGAACTCCCACTATAATTTAATTGAATCTAAAAAGAAATTAAAGTTGTGTTTGAATAAAAAATTTATGAGTGTTTGAAATTTAATACTCTTTTTATTTTATTTTTGGTTGTCATATTTTTTCATTTTGGGAATTAAATGATATGACTTTGATTTATAATTTAAGATAAATGTACTTTTTCATCATATTGATACGAGAAAAATAATAATGTATACACTCTCCTTTCACTTTTAATTGTCATATTGCGTTTTGCGAAAGTCAATTTGACTAACTTTCAAAACGAAATTAGATTACATTAATTTGATAAATTTTAAACAAAAAATTTAGATATTAGAAAAACTATATGAAAAATACAATAAGTTGCAATTTTTTGCATATCAATATGATAAAAAATAAATCATAAAATATTAATCAAAATACTTATTGTTGACTTTAAAAAGAAAATTATGATAATTAAAAATAGACGAAGACAGTAATAATTATTGAGAAGAAATTTACATGTGACAATTGTGTAAATAGAGTAGGAAAAGAGTAAGAAAAGGAAATGACAATTAGCGTAACCTAATAAAGGCAATGGAGTAGTAACTCAAACTCATCCATTCAGTCTATTTCCATTACTAGATATTTTGTTAAATATATTAATATAATAATAATATTCAACAGACAGAAAGAAAAATCAATGAATGGTTGGAGAGGAAAATGCTTTTCGATTTGGTTAACGTCGGAAAGTTTCCTAAGAAAGAGACGTTTCTTTTTTGTACCACATACTATTCATCGATTTTAATTTATTTCAAAAATAATATCTCTTCTTTTTGTAATATTTAACCTAATATATTTATATAACAAAATTAAAAAAATTCTTTATTTTTTAAATTATAAAATCATTTTGTTTTTTTTCTTTGAAAGGAAAAGGCAACCAATAAGAAATTATCATCAGATATAGCTAGATTTTGAGAACAGTAAAGTTACTGCTGGCACACAGTTCTCCTTTCATAAAAGCGTGTAATGAGATTGGTTAAAAACGCTAGACTACTGCACTGCAAGTAGAAAAAAAGAAGGTGAATGAACTAGTTAAGATACAAAAGCAAAAGTATATTAATGAAATGATTGAACAAAGAGTAAAAAAGCCAAGTTACTAGGGACAAGAAAAAAGAAAGGTGGGGTTAGAATAATTTGTTTGCACCAAATATTTACATCAAAATAAAAAATATATATAATATCATAAAGTATATGTAGATTTTATTTTTAATTCAGAGATAAATAAATAGTTTTTGATTGAACATGTTAAGTGAATTTATTAATTTAATTGAAATAATATGTGGTAATTTTTCAATATAAATATTACTACTATGGTAATTTTAGGTAGTATTCTAAAAGTGGGCTAGTCCATGTCTGTATTCGGGAGCTAAGAGAGGAATGGTACAAAATCAAGTGAAATACTACTACAAGTAGTTAATAGTGGGAAACATATATCTATCATATCTAACCCTATCTCTCTCCACTAACCTTTTCTTTATTTTTCTCCATCTTCCAACAACTTTATTAACCTCTCTATAAGTCGTAGGTTTCATGTTCTTTCAATATACTCGAACACAAAACTTTTTTATTTTATCATCATTATTTTAATATATATATATATTCAACTCCACGCATCTATTTTAGACAGACAGAGAGAAAGAAAAGAATACAACTAGAGGGAGGGATAGAGAGAGAAATAGAGGAGAATATTTAAAAGTCTAGGAAACTGAAAACAAGTCCTTTTGTAGCAATAGCCAAAACCACCCACCTCACACATAAAAAAAAAATCTGAAATTTTTTCAACTGTTTTCTGTTTTATAATTTTGAGATTTTGGATTGGGTATTTTTTGTAGAGAGAAATGTGGGATCTAAATGAATCAGAAGAAGGTTGTTCTACTCCGATAGAGTTTGAATGCGATGATGAGAAAGGTAAACGGGTCGGATCCGTTTCGAATTCAAGTTCATCGGCTGTAGCTGTTGATGATATTTCTGAAGAGGAATTAGATGTAGAAAGAGGGAAGAAAAAGAGAGGTACTCCTCCAAGCAAAATTTTCGGGTTCTCTATGGTGGGTCCGGGTAACGGCGATGAAGAACAGCCGGTGACCCGCCAGTTTTTTCCGGTTGATGAGTCTGAAATGGGTGGTGTTGCTGCTGCTGAAAACGGATCCCCGAATTTTCCCAGAGCTCACTGGGTTGGAGTTAAATTTTACCAAACGGAGACACTTGGCAACACGGGATTGGCGAAGCCTGTAGATATGGTTCAGCAGCAACAGCAACAACAGCAGCAGCCTATTAAGAAGAGCCGCCGTGGACCAAGGTCTAGAAGCTCACAGTACCGTGGAGTTACCTTCTACCGGAGAACTGGCCGGTGGGAATCTCATATATGGTGAGCCATTTTACTGAAAATTATTAGTATTTCTCTTCAGCTTAAAATTTGGACTTATTTTTTTTTCTAATTTGCTTTAATAATCTTACAGGGATTGTGGAAAACAAGTTTATCTAGGTATTTAATATTCTTCAATTAAGCTATTTTATTTTTATCATTTGTTGTACTAGAAAATTAATTTGGTCTTTATTTAACGGAATCTCCTTTATATCAATTCTGAATTCTGTGTAGGTGGATTTGATACTGCTCATGCAGCAGCTCGGTGAGCTCCTGCTTCTTAGCCACCTTTTATAATTTTTTGTTAAATTTAAACTCACAGTTGAAATTTATTTTTTAAAATAAAATATACAGGGCATACGATAGGGCAGCCATCAAATTCCGGGGAGTAGAAGCCGACATAAACTTTAGCTTAGAGGATTATGAATCCGATTTAAAACAGGTAATACCATGATCAGATCAGTGTGACTGATTAGGAAAAAGTGTGTGTTTTATGATGTTCCTTTTTTCGAATGATTTTATTTCTCTGTGCCTGCCTGTCTAGTTGGAGTACTTTTGTTCAATACTCGTCTAATCGTGAACAGTATATTTCCTTATCTTCATAGTTGTTTGCTTTACATTTTGGTGCCAAGAGTATAGTAGACACCATCAAATTGAAAAAATCTAATACTTTTTTAATGTATGATACAGATGACAAGTTTAACAAAGGAAGAATTTGTGCATGTGCTCCGACGACAAAGCACTGGTTTTCCGAGGGGAAGCTCCAAGTATAGAGGAGTGACTTTGCACAAATGTGGTAGATGGGAAGCTAGAATGGGACAGTTCTTAGGCAAAAAGTAAAAATAATATATATATAAAAAAAATTTTCCTATCCTCGTATTATTATTCTTCTGTATGGTGAAATCCATTTTCAAAGGAATAATCCTTTAGATGTCAATTAGTAACTTTTGTTCTTTCTTTGAATAGGTACGTTTATTTGGGGCTCTTTGATACTGAGATTGAAGCTGCCAGGTGTGTGGTTGTGCTGCGGAATTTATTCTTCCACTTAACCTCAATTGCTTGTTAGGCCTTTTGAATTACTGAATATTTAACGTAGTTTTTTTTGTTAATACAGAGCTTATGATAAAGCTGCCATCAAGTGTAATGGCAAGGATGCAGTTACAAACTTTGATCCAAGCATTTATGAAAATGAACTAAACTCAATTGGTAAATAGTACTATACTGCTTTTATGTGCTTTACATTTTATATTTTGATGTGATTATTCAAACAGAATATTCATTAATGTGATCTCCCAGAATCTTCCGATAACGCGGCTGATCACAATCTGGATTTAAGTTTGGGTGGTTCAAGCTCAAAGCAAGGAAGCCGAGAATTGGGGGATAATAGAGGTCAAAATTCTTCATCAATGCAATTGGATATTGATTGGCAGCGCCATGGTTTAAGGCCTGAGGTATATTTACACGATCAATTGCTATATCTCTTGTTTTCGTTGTGAATTTATTTTTCTTCTTATGCAACATGTTTTAATTTCCAGAAGCAATCTGCCTTAATTGATGCTCGAAGAAGAGAAAACGGGTACAATGAAACAGAAACTTTGCAACTTTTAAGCCAGACGCACTTGCATTCTCCAGTCTCCTTGAAGCATAATAATAGTCAAGTGCAACGGTTTAGCCAATTTATGAGACCTGGTGATCAATCCCATATGATTCAAATGTTTCCACCGCAATTCGGCTCATCCAATTATCAAGTGAATATCCTCTCTTTAATAATGTACTCTTTTTTTATTTTCAAATCGTGGTTTTTTTTAAAAAAAAATGTTGTGACATGTTACAGATTCAATTTCCAAGTAGCAGCAATGGAGGCAGAATTGGAGGTACAAATGTAGGAGATTTATCGCTTGCGGCGACGAGCAATGGTTCTTCACAGTGGCAATCCAATTTTCCTCCTCAGATATTTGCAGCTGCTGCAGCATCATCAGGATTCCCTCAGCAGATAGTAAGACCTCAAAATTGGTCCTCAGAAAATGGCTTCCATCACTCACTCATGAGACCGTCATGACTTGCCATATTTCTACTTGTGTTTTTTTTAATATAATTTGTAAAGAGTAAAGGGTTGATATTCTTAATACTCCATATATTACCTAAAACTCTTGGTTTGAACCCAGAAAAGAAAAATTAGAAGAAAACAAAAGGGTAGACAAAAAGTTTTGGAAAATATGTCTACTCCTCATTAGTTTGTCCAATACTAACTGATCGGCAAGCTTTTCAACTAGACTTGTATTACTAGTTTATTCTGACTATGAACTGCCAATTTGGCCCATTCTCTCTCATTGTAACTTGTATACATTTGGGCACTAGCTTCTCATGCAGTATTTGAAATATAATTTATTATTCGTTTGTGTTTGCTTTTCTTGTAACAAAAGTCCAACTACTATGTCTTTTTGAAGTTGAAATATGAAATTTTAAGTTTTTGAAGCAGCGTTTGGACATTGCATTTTACTTGTAAAAATTTGTTGCTTTATGAGTGGGAAGTCTTACAAATCCAAAAATTGCCCTTGAAAAAAAATATTAAAGATTAGATCTTTAAAATTTGATCAAAATTCATAGCCAAATAGATAATAATAAAAATATAGTTGTAAATCTAAATCAAAGTCTATAGGCAGACGTCATCTAAATGTACTTAAATACACCTTTAAAAAATTGAAAGTGAAAACAATCTTTTTATAGGCAAATTGGTACTAAGAGAAATTTGGAGAAAAGTGAAAATCCATTATGTCCATGAGCATGACCCATGGGGTAAATAAAATAAAGAGTCTCTAGGACAAGTAGGAGACAAGTCATCTGATTAGGTAGTGCACATAAGAAGCACGAGTCAATGTTCTCTTTTTTGTTATAATACTGTTGAAAAAGTAGAGTGAAAAGAAAAGAGGGAAAGTAAATATATGTATAAAATGGGATTGTTTTGTTTTGTAGGAAAGTGATGAATTGTCACACTCATTGCTTGTCCTTTGAATCACTTCTCATGACTATTTATGTGTCAGATCAATGCCTAATTATGGTGAGAAGGACTTAACAAAACCTTTAAAGGACGTATTTAATTGGTAAACCTATACACTTGTTATTCTATATCTATACATAGATAGATGTCACTATTATTCAAGTTTCAGCTAACACAACATTTTGATTCATTATGCATTGAATTTTCCTAAATGTTCCATTAATCAAATTCAACTTTTCTTATTCAATTATGGACAACAAGCTTTTTCGAGTTATTCGATAATTCCTCACACGTATTTTTAGAATTTTGAACATCAACATACCATATTTTATCTACGGAATTTGAAGAGGTTAATGTATGTACAATCTCATTCTTATCTTGTTAAAGTACAAAATAGTTGTTCAATTATATATCTAACAAAACACTAAATGAAATTAAATTATTTTTCTAATAAGTTCCTTATATTTTAATTCCATATGAAAGATTAATTTCGTTTGATTTTATCGATATTATGTATTGATTTTATCAAAGTTATTTATCTTTATTTTATTTGACGTTTCAGAGATAAGATTTTATTTGAACTTTTTTAGAATCAGTATATCACTTGAAATTTTCTACAAAATTATTTTAAAAAATTTAAAATTATCTTCAAGATGATTACAAATATCTACGGCCAAACCTAAAGGTCAAAGTGTCTTTTCTAGATTACTCGTTTCTACAGCTAGTTTCTATAATTGTGTACTTTGTCAGAGGATGGAGTACAAAAATAGAAATTATTTTTTAAAACATTATACAATAAACTTTTTAAGTACGAGAATAAATTAACCAATCCACATGTGTAACCTTGATGTCCAACTTTCAATTCGATATATTATAATAAGGTCATATGTAAAATTGCTAAAATAATAGGAACTGATTGCATCATCTAGGCCGTCATACTTTATTTTAATAATAATACCTAACCTTCTATTTTTGTACACTCTCTGTTATTAAATTATTTATATTGAATAAACAATTTACAATTATAATGCAGTACAACATACAAGATTTTGTACTAAACATTTACTTTAATTTTGAGAGAGACATAAAGAAAGGATAGTGGAGACAAGAATAATTATAATAAAAATCTGTTCTCATTCTCTTTTTTTTTTTAATTGAAAAAAACAAACAATTATTTATATATTTTTTTTCAAACTAAAAAATAAAAAATAAAAAATAGCCCTCTTGATTTGATTTTGACCACACAAACTGAATTTTATATTTGGTCTGGCAAACTAACTGATATAGACTTCAAAGTTGGCTGTTCAAAATAAAATAGAGTTGAATTACATTACTTGCATTTTTAATTAGGTGGGGACTGAGCTGACCCTCTCAATTTATATTATCGGATTCGGAGAATTAAATAAGAAATTTTTTTATTCCTATTTATTCATAATCTTTTAAATTATTAAATTTTTGAAATAATTTTTAAATGTATAATTATTTATCACAACTCATAAATATTATATATCATATAAATTGAAATGGAAAGAACTATCCTAACCTTGAAAAACAAAATTATCTAGTACTTGTTGTTGATGAGAGTTGACATTTATCTTGTGGAATTAGTTAAATTACACACAAACTGGCCTGAAAAAAATCAAACGAAATATCTACTAATTGGTTGTCGATAAGTTCAATCTATTATACTTATATTCGGAAGCAAATTTCGGACCTATAAAATTCAAACCAACAACAATTTTAAATTTATAAATTTCAAATCTTGACTGTGAATCCTCGGAAGTGGTCCAAAAATGTTTCCCACGCGATAATTGAGAAAGTGGGAAGAACTGTTTAGGAAATAGTAGTAGGAGTTATATAAAAGGTAAAATACAAATAAAAGACAGAAGAAGAAGAGGTGCACAGCACATGACTTTGTTAGATTCTTTGCTTTGCATAGGATCCGCGAAACACTGTAAATATCCTCACAGGAATTAGATTCATTCATTCATTCACGTTTTGTCCTTATACATACACAGCTGTACGAACAACTTCTTCAGTAATTTCATAGTACTTTTACTGCCACACTTACTTGCCATATTAGGTAATTACGAGTAGTAATTAATCAAACAAATCACTAGATAATGTTTTTGTATATCCATGTGACGTGAGAGGAAGTAAGTACTGACCAATAAAGCAAAGGGAGTTGGTGAAAAATAAATACTTACTTATTACAAGGTTAAATAAAAGGGCAGAAACTATCAGATCGATGATCCAAGGTTAAATGATACTTCTTCAAATAGGTTATAGGGTGGGGCGTTTGGTTCTTCGGTTTTGATTTTATCAAATTTTGGTTTTTTTATTTTAGAAAAGTGTGCATCATATTTCAAACCAAATTAATTCAGCTCGGTTCAATTTTTTCTACTTCGGTTAAGTTTAGTTTGGTGTTTTTAAATCGATTTTTCAGTGCGAATGATAAATAAAATGAGGACAAAATCAAAGTATAAGATATATACTTAAAAATTTAAAACCATGTTGAGGATTGATGTGTCTCTCCATGAAACACTTATTGTGCTAACTAAAAGACTATATTTGTTTTTCACAAGAACATTGGATCTTCAACTACTTCTCAAAAAAACAAGGACGAAAATGGGTTCCTTTACATAAAATAATGTACATTAATAAAAATATGTTTGGGTTCCTCTTGCGAATTAATATTTGAAGTCAACTATGAAATTGTACATTTGTTTATGAATGATTTTGGAGCCAAAATAAAGCGCTCGGTTAATATTTGATGGTAAAGCGCTCCCAAAACAAAGGTCCGATTCTTCGGTGCACCGAAGTTCTGAGACCCTTAACTGAACACCGAATCGAAGAACCAATTTTTTGAAAAATTAACACCGACACCAAATCGAAACACCGAAACTAGATTAGTTAAGTTTGATTTTTCGATATTTATGCCTACCCCTACCCTCAAGTAGTGACTAAGTGCAAAATTTCGTTAAAGGTGTTTAAAATTAAAAATATATATATAAAAAAATATTTTTAAATCTATAGATTTTGTACAATTTTTTGACAAAAAGTGTCCAATTGACCACCACAATAATGTGACTACTCTCATACCCTCATGTCCATATTAAGTTAATTATTAGGGTTTTACAAAAGAAAAATATTTTAATGACATAAATAAAATGCTACCGTCACTACTGCATTTTGGATTATTTTCAAATTACTTTGAATAAATGTAAAGTAGTTAATAACCTCATTAAATGAAAGATCAAGATGAGAATAGCTCTCAATAATTTTGTTAAATTTTGAACAATTCATTTATTTTGGATTATAAAAATAATCTCAATAGTTCACTTAATACATCCAATGTCAAAACAGATGAAAAACATGAATATTGTAGAGAAGAAATCATGTTGAAAATAATAGACAAATAAAAAAAATAGCAAGAAAAGATAATAAAATAAAAGTAATAATAAAATCAAGTGGGAGAAAATTAATGGTAAGATTTATTAGAAATTGGAAAAATAAACAACATAGCCTACCTTCTAACTTCCTACTCTTTAATTTGCTATTATTATTTATTAATTATTAGTATATATTTTTTGTGAAAATATTTTTTTCCCTTCAATAAAAAACCTTCTATGTAAAATAAGATATGTCGTACTAAAAACACCCTTATAAACTGCAAGTACTCCAGTATTTTAAACATACGTGGATAGAGTCAAAAGTTCTTACTTCATATTTCTTGTTATTAATATAAAAAAGAAAATATCAAAAGAGGAAACCTTTCAAATGTTTAGTGTTTCACCAGTTGAATTGATTAATATTCTTTCTTAATTTTATTTGGATATAATATTCAGATTTGCCTTTCGTAAATAATTCATTTTGGATTTTATCTTGTAATAATTATTTATAAGGAAAACAAAAAAGAAGAGAAAATGGATGGTGACTCCTGCTTTTTAGGTAAAATCACAAATCACAAGTTGAGTACTGAATTTCTTGATACATCACTTTCCTCATTCATTCATCATCCACCCAACTTGAGTACACTATATTTCGAGTATTTTCTTCTATCTCAATTTATATGATATAATTTGATTGTTAATACTTAAATACAAAAATGCACATTTTAATACTTTTACACTTAATTAAGTGAAATTGAAATGAGTAAAATAAAAAGTTGGGATAGAGGAATATTATTTTCTCCTTTTAAAAATAAATAAATTATATCACATAAATCAAGACGGGCGAATATTATTTTTCTCCTTCAATTGTTTTCCATTATTTTCTCTACCACCCAAACATATATATAATTCCTTCTTGAGTTGTCACACAGACTTTCTTTTTGCTAAGACCTTGTATTTATGTGAAAAAAGGTGAATCGATGATGATTCC